AAAATTCAACCTCGAATAGGCAGGCAACACAATTTAAAGAAATTAACTAAAAAATAATCATATCTGCATCAGTAAAACCCAAGTCATCAATCTCTAGCTCCTCCTCATGACATACGTGTACCATTAGGTCAAAAGAATTTCATGCCAATATGATAGATTAAATATAAACCAGTCCTTCTTGTCTACCAGATCAGATTGATACAGAAAATATGAGATTTTTCCCCCCCAGATAACAGACGGATCAGATTGACACATAAAATATGCTAAAATGAGTCTCTAAAAAATAATTGTTAACATGCGTACTGAAGAACCCTACCATCAACTTTCTGACATGAAAGTATTTGCTTAAATTGCATGCCACAATTCCTTCAAGAAAAATAGAAACACTTAATATGAAAGGATATACTTGCTTTAACAACCATTTAACATATATTGAAAGCTTGTTGTGTGTGGAGTTGCTAAAGCTTTGCCAGACTAACTGGAACTCCTGTACAATCCAATGAAAAAAAACGAAATTTTAAGTTCTTGCGATCCTCAACAACTTCATGTCAGAGACGAGGTAGAGTGCTCAACACCCTAACCAGGTCAACCTTTATGGATACTATATGTAAAGCTCTCTCCTTTATCGACTACAACAAAAATTTACAGAATTTAACAAAAACCCATGAATCGCAAAGCCATAAACTAGGTCGAGGTCCAGTGCAACAATCCATTAAAAGCAAAGCAAATATACATGAGGAGAAGAGCAGAGTTCATGAGTCTCACCAGGTACCAGAAAGATCGAAGCAAAGTCCCCAAACCAAGTAAGTCTGTTGGAAGTATTGGGTGCTTCGCTCAAACCCTAGCAGCAGCCATGGATGGATTGAGAAGTTGGGAAGAGTAGTTTTTGCTTTTCGTTTTAGAGAAACAAATGTCAGCTGCGATTACCCAGAGAGAGAGAGAGAGGGTTTAGACCTTCTCGCCTTTTCCTAACAAGAAGAAAGAAAAATGTTATTTAATTTCATTATTATAATTATTATAATTATTATAATTGGGGGCGTAAGCTATTAATGAAATGACAGTAATGCCACCGCCTGCTTTCGGTGTGAACACCTGGGCCGCCTTGTAAATTCGACATAAACAACGACCAAAACGGTCTTTTTCAAAACACTCTCTCTCTCTCGGTAGCGTCAAACTTTCATGAGACACGTGTTCATTCGATTTTTCGACGAAGTAACTGTCCGACACGTGGCGACGATAGAGGTTTTTACGTCTTTAAGGACTGTTTTTGTTTTTGTTTTCTTG